TTCATCTGCTTGATCGATGCAGCTGTTGAAACTTGTGCATGCTTCACGAAGTTCTCTTGCTGTGTTTTTCAGTTACATCAAGTCATTTATGTTCTTCTCTAAGCTGGTTATTCTAGTTAGAATTTCGTCTAAGCTTTTTTCAAAGTTCTTAGTTTCTTTGCATTGGGTTAGACCATGGTCTTTTAACTCAGAGAAGTTTGTTATTCTCCACCTTCTGAAGCCTGCTTCTGTCAATTCATCAAACTCATTTTCTGTCTTGTTTTGTTCCCTTGATGGTGAGGAGTTGATCTCTGTGAGGGGAAGAGGTGTTCTGGTCTTTGGAGGTTTCATCCTTTCTGCACTGTTTTTTTCCCATCTTTGTGGATTTGTAACCCTTTGATCTTTGAAGTTGGTGATTTCAGGAGGAATCTCTGAGTGGACGTCCTTTCTGTTGCAGTTGGAGCTATATCTTTTCTGGTCTGTAGAGGCGCTGCTGGGCTGCCTCGGATTCAGCCAGGTTGCTGGGTGGGTAATCTTCCCCTGGGTTTGTTTGCAAGTGAAATTAGCCCCGTGTCTCCAACGGCCTCCTTCCCTGAGCTCCATCTTCCTGCTTGGGGTCAAACTGGTGTATTTGCTGCAAAGCTGTCTGGTGCATGGGCTTCAGTTTGAGTTTTGTGCGGGGTGGGGCCTGCCAGGCCTTATGACCTGTTTCCCTGCTCTCAGCTCTGCCTCTTTCTGTGGGACGGTTGTTCTGTCCTGCTGGCGTTAGTGCAATCTTCCGCCCAGATCCAACCAACAACTTGCGGCACCAGGCAAGAGCCATGGCTCAGATTCGCATTGACAACCCATGGTGCCCCTCAGTCTGGCGGGGCTCTCGTGGACCGTGGGTTGCAGGAGGGATGAGGTAAGCACAGGATCCGAATCAGAGGACCAAGGGGGTGAAGTCCCCCAACCCTCCGAGCCAGCTGCACGTTCCAGGTGGGGGTGTGCCCCACCCGGGTTCATTCTCCCTGAGCAGCTCTTGCCCTGTTTTAGCTCCCTCCCTGGGCTATTTTCAGAGTCCTTCCAGTCCCCCGAAAGGAACCCGACACCTCACTTGGAATGGTGAAGTCCTCTGGAACTCTGCGTCTCATTCGCTGGGAGCTGCATTCCCGTGTTGCCTCCTCTCGGCCATCTTGGCGCCACCTGCATGTCCCCTTACCTGCCAGTTTTCTTCTGTCATGTCTTGTATGGCCTCAGATCTTGTGAAGTTTTCATTCCCTACAGCGATCAGATAAGTGTTTAATTCTGTCTTTCTGCTGCATTTTCTACAACATAATTTTTTTACATCAATTAATCCACCTTTTGTTGTAAGACTTGAGACATTTGCTCCAAAGTACTGCGCTTTTGTTCTGACGGATTTACTAAATAACCCTTGCCTGGGCCATAGTTTCAAAGGACCATCTCTGGATGACAGAGCCAACTCTCAGGCCAAAAGCTTGGTGTTTCCGCCATGAAAAGGCTGGGACTTCACCCGGCGGTCTCGTGCTTTCCCCACAGGCGAGGGCTGCATTGCCCTCCGGTTAGAGGCCACAGAAACGCAGCTGCCCATCTACACACCTCTCACCCACCATGGGGAGATGACAGGCCACTTCCAGGGCGAGATCAAGCTGCAGACCTCTCAGGGCAAGAAGAGGGAGAAGCTCTATGGTAAGCAATGAGCCCCTCCCCAGCGCCCTCTTCAGCACCACCCCAACTCCCCTGCCTTAGGGACAGGAACGTGCTTTCTCAGCAAAGCCATCAAATAGTCTCTCTGCTGTGGCCTCAGAGCAGAAATCCAGCATTGGAAAAGATCTGACAATCTGGCCTGACCCTCACTGGACTCAAAAATTTCCCAACAGATCCCAACACCCAGCGTGCCCAGATCACCCTCCCCGACCCTGTGGATTTTTCAGGGCCGAAAACCTCACCTATCAGCATTTAGGCTTTGTCATTCCCTCATTAGCATCTCCGCCAAAAGAAGGACCCAGGGTACCAGGCGAACCTACCTCTTGTTAAATGCTTCCTTCCAGGCTGTCCGGGAAGTCCAAAGCCATGGCTGCAGTTGAGATTTAGAATTTCTTGGGCGACCTTTGCTTGTCCAAACAGCCACATGGTGCCCACTCCCATATATAAACAGACCTTGTACATGCCTAAACCC